CCCTAAAACGCGGTCGTGAAACCTTCAAGCGCGACTTTGAAAGGGCATAGAAAATCGAGGATTCAACCAAATTCAAAAGTTTCTTCGCCCAAATGCTTCGAATAAAGTCTAGATTCGTTTTAGCGAAAAAAAAAAAAAAAATTGGGGGGTTAGGTGCACTTTAACAATTTTCAAGAACATTTGAAGGTAAATTAATGTAAAATATTGTCAATTCTTTTAAGGGATGGTCATTCTCTTCCTCCATGTGGGATTCTTTTAACTGGACCTCCTGGAGCTGGGAAGAGGACAGTTGCTACAGCAACAAGCAAAAGATTGCACATGCACATTTTTGAAGTCAGTTGCTATGATCTGATTGGGGAGTCAGTGGCAGCAACAGAAGCAAGACTGAAGAATACATTCCAGAGAGGTCTGTTAACGTTATGCAGCACAATTAGTCAGTAATCAGTGTTTTAACTCTACTGGTTGGTGTGTTGGACACTGGGTAAGTCAGTCAGTCAATCAGTCAATTGATCTATTAATCAATCAATCAATCACTCAGTCAATCAATTTTTTGTTAGTCAGTCAGTCTATCACCCCATCAGTCAGCCAGTCGGTTGGGTCTGTTGGTCAGTCAGTTGATCAGTCAGTACTCAGTCAGTCAGTCATTCAGTCATTCAGTTATTCAGTCAGACAGTCAGACAGTCAGTCAGTCAGTCAGTCAGTCAGTCAGCCTGTCTGTCTGTCTGTCTGTCTGTCAGCCAGTCAGCCAACTAGTCCAGTGTCAGAACTACATGTATTCACTAGCCTCAAGTGGCCTTCTTTCCCTTATCCATGGTATTTGATCTTCTCACAACTTCTTAACTGAGACTGAAAAGGTGAACCTACATGTACAATGTACCTATTTTGGAATGTGCAACTTAAGATAAAGTTTATATCAAGCAATTATGATTTGAAGTATGACCTAAATCTGTGTCATTTTCAGCCATTTTCTGCTCACCTTGCATTCTGTTACTGCAAAACATTCATGCCCTGGGCAAAGACAAAGAGGGAAACGACGATGAACCACGGATAGCAGGCACAATGCTTGACTGTATCTACAGCCTTCAGGAAGACTCTGATTGGCCAGTGGTAGTCATAGCAACTTCCTCCTCTCCAGATGACATCACCTCTGACATGTTTTCCTGCTTCCTTCATGAGCTGACCCTAGAAGCACCTACTGAGAGTGAAAGATGTGACATGCTTTGTGCCTTGGCTAAGATGGCTTCTGTTGGAAATGATGTGTCATTTCAACAGCTTGCCAAAAGAACAGCTGGGTTGGTGCTGGCAGATTTGGTTGTGCTATTCACTCATGCTTCAAATGCTGCTGCAAAAGGTTTATTAGATGACAGCCCTGAGAAATTAAGGTTCATCACAGACACTACCCCAACTTGGTTTCCATGGAAACTGGAGCAACAGCTTAGTTCAATGGGTGTCAAACTCAGCAATCAAGATTTTGAGAGCTCACTGGAAATTCTTCAGTTATCATTGTCAGATGCAATTGGAGCTCCTAAGATTCCAAGTGTTAAGTGGGAAGACGTGGGAGGTCTGGCAGATGTCAAGGCAGAGATCTTGGACACAGTTCAACTGCCTCTTCAACATCCTGAGCTGTTTGCAGCAGGATTATGGAGATCAGGTACTGCGCTGTAAATTATCTGTCCTATTATCTGCTTTGTTGTTATAAGTACATGTAATGCTAGGAGCTACATGTAATAACTACAGTGTACCTCCCACTTCCCTCACGGCTTTGTCGTATGTGTTAGATACTGTCCTTGTACATGTACTCTACTGAAATAAGGACATGCAGTTGCATGCAAAATTTCAGCAGCTAAGCTAGCTAATTGGTACTATCAATAATATTCAATTTCTGGCTATGTTCTCACAGGAGTGTTGTTATATGGCCCTCCTGGAACTGGCAAAACGTTACTAGCCAAGGCAGTGGCAACAGAATGTTCTCTAAACTTCCTCAGGTAACGCAGCATTCATGAGCAGTCCTGACATACATTTCCATGGCAATGTACCATCACTATAGATTACTACATGAGAATAATCAGAAAAAATACCATATCATATAGATGCACACCCGTACATTTTGAGGAAAAGTAGAATGATGAGCCCAAAGAGAGTCAGTGGAGGAGGCTAGTACAGTCTACCCACTGCTTGCGGTGGTCTGTTTTTAGACACACTGTAGGAATGCAAGACTGCTTACCTTCTAACTCATGGATTCATTAAGTGAGAGACCAAAAAACAAAACAATTGATGAGGAAATAATATTGCACCTTACACACTTGTGAAAACATCTTCCTGTCCATTCCTCTCTTTTGCTTCTTATTTTATGATCTGTCACTAAGAAAAAAAGTCCTGACAGTCTTGGCTCCTGAATCGTCAGAACACTTCCTTAAAAATTATGCGAGGTACATTGATATCCTTTCACTTTTTTGTGTAATAGGAACACATGTTATGACGTGAAATACGAAGTTTGAATGTCATATATATTACTTTTGTTGTCAGTGTGAAAGGACCAGAGCTGATCAACATGTACGTGGGTCAAAGTGAACAGAATGTTCGTGAAGTGTTCACTCGAGCTCAGAGTGCGCGGCCTTGTGTGATCTTCTTTGATGAGCTGGACTCACTAGCACCCAACAGGGGGAGGAGTGGGGACTCCGGTGGCGTCATGGATCGGTAAGTCACGAATTGAGGAATACCTTATTTGGGCAAAAATCACAGTTTTTCATCAGGTTTTGTTTCTGGACAAACCCTTCTTTGCTTTCATTATTTTGCGTGTCACGCGGCAGCTTCTCCCCAAAAGTAACTCTTTCAAGTGAAGAATCAAACGTTTTTCCAACAAAAATTTCAGATTGGTTTTTAGTTATAATCTACGAGTTCTTGAGGATGTAAAAGTTGAAAGGCTGCTGTTACGTGACAATGTCCCTTGATGCTCCGCAGAGTTGTGTCCCAGTTGTTAGCTGAGCTGGATGGGCTTCACAAAGCTTGCGACGTGTTCGTCATCGGGGCCACAAACCGACCCGACCTCCTGGACCCTGCGCTTTTGAGACCAGGTCGATTTGATAAGCTTCTTTACCTTGGCGTGAGTGAGGACAAAGAATCACAGCTCAACATACTTAGAGCTCTAACTAGAAAGTAAGTACATTATTATTATTATTATTATTATTATTATTATTATTATTATTATTATTATAATGTGTAGAGTACTTGAAGTCGTAGCACGCTCGGACGGTGACAGCGAGGTCCTCGGTCGTGTACCAACCTCTTCCTTGCCTAAATCTTCGTTCGAAAATCCAAGCCGAGAGAGAAAGTGAGAATACTTGATTTGTAGACTCTTAGTGACAGGAATTACTATTTCTGTGACCCTCGATAGTGTTACCAATCTGTAAAAGGAATTAATGTGACAAGAGCTGCAATTTGCGTATGGAAAATAACGTTTGACTTGATAAAAATGACACCTGGGGTTTGTTTTATGAGTCCTATTAGTAAGACTTCTTTCTGCCCATAACGTTAAGCATTATTTTTTTTTTTTTTTGCAACATTGTGGAGTTTTGTTAAACAACTTCTCTTTGTCGCAAGTTACGTGTTCACATACGTGATTTATAAAATTATGGCCACAATCCTTTTTATAGGACACCAAGATCAGATGATTGTTTCTCCTTATACTAATTTCCACTTATCCCTTGGAAATTAGTTATGAGAATGCGGTTGTACATCAAGATATCACCTCAGAGATTGTTACTGCAGTATTTCCTTTTTCTCGTATCTGCTTGAAAATGTCTCGATGTTATAATGAGAAATAACAGCGTAATCCTGTCTCCCTTTCCTGCAGGTTCTGTTTACATCCTGATTTGCGGTTGGAGGAGGTCGCAGCCCTTTGCCCTGCTAACTTAACAGGAGCTGATTTCTACGCGCTGTGTTCGGATGCCATGTTACAGTCTGTTAAGCGGAAGATTGAGCTACTCGAGCAAGGTGATTGAATAGGCGCTGCATCTGTCCTGGACTCATAAAATGGCTAGAAATAGAGCGTAGCTTTATTAGAGGAGGTAGCGTAGCCGAGTGGTTAGGGCGCCGGACTTGAAATCTGGAGGTCGCTGGGTCAAGTTCCGCTCTTACCACTAAGCTGGAGTTGTTTCCCGGTAAACCCTAGGTCAACTCCTTGGTCATGTTTGTAAATAGCCAACTGGTTTGCCTCTCACCAGTTGGGATTTTCTATCATGTTCTTCGATATAAACTAGCTGTATCTTTTCGTTTACTTCGAATAGCACAGACGGAAACTCACATCTACTGTGGACTAAACAATTTGCTGCGGAATTGCTAACATTGATATAAATGAACAAAATATTTTTGACATAAGTTTCAATAGGTTTCGAGAGGTTTCTTAAATTTCGTGAACCATTGAGTTTACGAAGGTATGGCTTACTGTGGTTAATGTGTTTGTTTCAGACAGACTTTTCTAGCGTTTAAAAGGTTAGATCTAAATAGAACAAAACAAGAAACCCCCTCCTTGTAAGAGATAATTAATTTTTCAGGAACCCGTTTTGACGTAAATGGTGCTTTTTCTTCTTAGGCCGAGCTGACTCTGTTGAGGAAGATGGAGACATTCAAGTCACAGAGACAGATTTTCAGAAGGCGTTGAGCAATCTCGTACCGTCAGTTTCCTTACAGGAACTGAAAAGATACAAAGACATCCAGAAACAGTTTACACTGGCTATTACCAAGAAATGATCGAAGGTGAGTTTGTTCAGCTACGCATAAGATATAAACCAAGAGAGAATGTCTCGTCACATTTCAGTTCCAAAGACGTAGAGGAGAGTTGAAAAGACGAAGCGCAATGGAGTGTTTTTGTACGGCGAACTTCGAGGTGTTTGGATATGGGATGAAACACTGTCTCTCGTCTATGGTATATCTTCCCTATCGGAACTCCATGCAAACGAAGGAAATGGTATAGAATTTCTATAGAGCTATGGTAGTTGAGGGCATTTCCAAACATCGTCATGGCTATGATTTTAACTTGATTAATTATTAATCTTAATGAGAAATTTATGTGTATTTGAGGTCAGATATGGAAAAGAATCCTAAGGTCCCGTTCAAAGGTAAACACTTGCTTTAATGCTCCAATGATGTTACGTTCGTGACTTCTCGGAGTGGTTACGAAACCTTTCCGAAAATACACGAAGTTTTGTTCCCAGTTCTCTCAAAGCTGGCCGCGTGTAAGACAAGTCGAGTCGCTGGTGGAGGCTATGGAGTTCCATCCCCGCCAAAAATCAAAGTTGATCACAACATTCAACTTGACAGTCTAACAATTAACTTGGCAAACATCAACATCATATTTCACTCTTCAACTTTGTACTTTGTATCACAATGTTCAATTTCTCAAAGTTGGTTTCAACCTCGTTCCCAGGGTCCTCTCTTTTCCTCCCTCGAGAAAGTACCCTGGTTGCGGCTGGTCACATGTCTGCTAGATTTTTTTTTTTTTTTTTTTTTTTTTTT